CCCTGAGCCCTAAACCCTAACCCTTAAACCCTAATCCCCAAACCTTAAACCCCAAACCCTAAACCTTATCCAAACCCTAACCCCTAAACCTTAAACCCCCAAACCCTGATATCAATTTCAGCAAGGCTTGAGCTCTCTGTGTCCCAGTTACAGAGCTTCTTGCCAGTCTTGAATGGAGATTGACTTGCTCTTGGGCCGCTTGTCCACTTCTGAGAGGATGGAGGCCTGCACACAGACTTCTCATCTATAGGGTAATAGTAATAAGAATAGGAAAAATACTAATAATCGCAATAGTACTAATAACAATAGTAATAATAATAAGTGTGAGAGGAATCAGCCGACATCATCAGCCCCAACAAGCTTCCGGAAGCTTCAGTTTCATTGCAAGGCGGCAAACTGCTGCCCGGCCTCCACCTTTTGCCGGATCTCTTTATACCTGCGATTTGCACCCTTGCTCTTTGTGAAACCTTCCCCGGGTTCAAAACTGACAAGAAGATGTGTCATCCTGGTCAAACTTAGAGCCGCACGTGGGAAGCAACTCCGGCAGCTGCACTACAAGTGGAGGGTCTTTCCTCGGAATTTGGCTAGAGGCAAGTGGCTCCCGTTGAAAGCCATGGAGGTGACCTGCAGAATAGCACTCTCACGCCAGGGCTCTGTGATCTGGTTCTGGCCACTGTCAAGCGCCCAAGGTGTACCACGTCTCGCTGGCTGTTTATTTCCTGGGACGGGCACACGGCACACCCTCTCAAAAAAGATCATCAATCGCAAGTATATCATGGAATCCTGCCATTTCCACATGAAAGCCGAGGCACGTTCTCTACACCACAGCTGTGTCCCACCAGGACAAAGGACAAATGAGCTGTGTGACCTGAAGCATGGCCTTCATGCTCTACCTGCATGAGGCTAACGGTAACGCGTGGGACGGCCCGGGCCATAACTGGAGCCAGCTCACTGGCTCTACTACTTAGAAGTTTCTTAAAAGGAGACCCTACGGATATATAGGGGCTACAGCTGGAATATACGGTACAGGGGGGGAGGGTTAATTTTAAGGAATTCCCACTTGCAGCTCTGGCACCAACTGAGAAGTGTCCAAGGCCAGCAACCTTGGCTGGCACAAACTAACACAATGGAGAATCAAAGGGAAAAGGCAATGGAACATGAAATGGCAACCTCATGTCCGTTTAACGGGGTCATATAAGAATCCTATAGGAATAACAGTCCCCCATGATGGAGAATCAAATGGAAAAGGACATGGAAAATGAACTGGAACATGACATGGAAGCTAGGGCTATGTAGGAATTACAGGGCATTGATAATAACATACCTAGCCACTGTAATTGATTCCAGCAGCAACGTCCCACATCTCTTCAGCAGGTATTGCCCGACGGTTCAGGTAGGAGAACATAGCTGTCATGCCCATTTGGCTTCTCAAAGCCTTGCCTCAGAGAAGGCTTCTGCTCAGCTTGCAACTTCTGCCTGCTGGCTTTATAGCACTTGATCCGATGCATGAGGAGAGGCCACTGACAAACTCTGGACCCTTCATCCCTTTGAAACAGCGCTGAGTTTCGAATGCTTTCGAGAGGCACGGGCACGGCCACATCTCCATACAGCAACTCTAAAGTGTCAGTTGAGGTCGGACGTACAGGGACGCCTCCTCTGCTAAGGCAACATCTACCTAGTTGTTGTTCTTGAGTTCAAGGAAAGCGTCTTTGTTTCACACTCAGCAGTCCTACGGCCACCAAAGAGACCATTGGTGCTTTCAGGAAATTGTGCTCATCGTCATAGAAGCTGGCACCGCCAGCTTCAAGCAAGGCACGAAGCCTGCCATGTGGAGCTCAACACCTTATAACACACCAGATATAATCAATATGACCCTAGCTTCTGTTACCTTCTCCATGTTCTTTTCATCTATATTCTCCATCGTAGTAGTTTGCATCTTCTTTTCCAGTGCAGTCAGCCAGCATTGCAAGCTTTTCTGCCGAGCAACTTCACAGTGTACGTGACTTCAGCCGTTGATTCCCACCAAGCGATCTGGTCCAAGACAGAAAGACCACCTGGAAACAACGCAGGCCTTCGGGAGGCCTCGACCACAGCTGGCTTCACTTCTTCCCTCCATTACAAGTACAGTTCTGATGTTCCAAAAGCCCTGGGTAGATTGTCCAGAGTCTATAATCTAGAATGCCAGCATCTTTCCTGAACGGAAGGCGATACTCAACGATGGTTCAAGCTGCAGCCAAACCACATGGTAGAATCCTTGGCAAGGGAGGGCACCTGACCAGGGACCCAAGATGCTGCAAGGCAAGTCTCTAAGATTTGGAGCTCGGAGGTTGAAGCCACAACTTTGCCGGGTGGCCCACCAGGCTCCTCGCACAGACTGGGGCACTTCGCTGAGAATACCTCAGACAAAGAGCATCAACCACGCTAGCACAGAACACACGCTGTCAGGCGCAGCCGCAGTGAAAGAAGGGAATATCTGCAGCATCTGAAAACGCCTTATCTGCCTGGGCCATGCACGCGCTGACTTGGATGCGCTGCTTCAGATCTTCGTCTACCTTTGTGTGCCCATGAGGCTTCCAGCCCAGCAGCGTGAAGCAGATCAAAACATCAGTGGCTTGACCCTCCGTGTTGCAGGCCGTTTGCTCGGCCAGAGGAGTGCCATGCCGCAGGTCAGACCCAAGCCCAGTATCGCACCTGTCCACAGTGAAAGTCCCAATCTGCCTACCATGCAAGGAATTCACAACACTAATGTAACATCATGTAACAGGAAGCATTGCGAGAGCAGTTTCAGGAAAGAAGGCTGCCATTGACATCCGGCTAGCCTCGTCGTTCTCGTGCCCCGGTGGCCGGGGCCTTAAGCATGTCATGTTCATCCTGCTACATGTATTGCGTGTTGTCAGCTTCAACTCGCTTCTGCCTGCACGTCAAGACCATGGAAGCATCGGCGCTGGAGGCTGGGGAGCAGCTGTTTGGAAAGACGCCGCATGTAAGCGAGACCCACCCCGGCTGACAGCATGAAGTGGCTGCAGGGAGATCAGGGAGATCGTCGACAACAAAACAGGCAGCACAACACAAGACAACCTCAACGCAGTGGGCCTGGCAATCAAGCATGTTCCAGCTGCCAACAACCTGCAGTATGTGCAAAATCGCATGACACAACGGCAGCGTGACTTGCACAGCAGCGCTCAGCTTGTCTCCAGCCGTATGCAAGAGCATCACCAGATTTGCAGCAAGCATTTGTTTTTGCTGTGACCGGGCCTGGTAAGTGCCCACAAGTCCTTCTAGACTTGCCCGGAAAGCTCGATCAGCCGGCGTGTCCTCCTCGTCAGCCTCACCCTGCAAACAGGCATCGGCGCAGCATTCAGAGCTGAGGCCTCAGCATCCTCGGCGCTCCTTCGGCAACTTCTCCCAGTCCACCATCCTCCAGCGGCCTTGCACATGCAGGCGGACTCGGAACCTGGCAAAGAAAGCGCCAAAAGCGGTCATCGACAATGCTCATGCTATCTCAGCACGCTTCTCAGGTGACTGGCTAGGGCAGGAATCGCTACTTTGGATTCTTGAAGGACAAAGTAGCATGAATTGAGGCCTGTCGCCGGGAACGGCTGCCAAATCATCGAAAACCGGCAACTCGTCCGGCACGATGGTCTGGATCAGCTGTCTTGCTTACCACAACACTCTGCATCTCTTTGTTCATGTTTCCAGTACATTATAGTATGTTATAATGTCTTATATTACATTATAGTATATTATAATAATACATGATAGTATATTGTCGTATCTTCTAGCGAGCACTGCGAGCTCCCACCAGAACCGGGCAGAGTGAACTTCAGAGGCCAATAACTATGTACATACATGTGACTCAAACAAAGCACCACGTCAATTGGGATAGGATTATCTCACGTATTACCTGGAGAAGGCTGAAAGCCTTGGTGCGCCAGGATTAGCACTAGAAAGGATCAAGCCTTTGAGTAGCCTGTCGTCTGACTGTCTCCAAACGTGCAATATTCTTGGGATCGAACACTTCGATGGGTCTTTCTATGCGCTTATATGCATCAGCATATGTCTCCAACAGCCAATCAAACTTGGGGCGACCTATTCTCCCTGTCAAAACTGTCCTCGGTCGTATACTGTCTCGGTCGTATACTGTCTGCGTGAAGCACTACTTGGTTTAACGGGTCAGAGCTTGA